GAACCGTCCCCATTTGAACTTCACACGCGCAAGCGCAAGAGAGTGCTAGTGTGAACGCCCAGAGGGCATGTGCCCTGTCGGTGATAGTATTATTTCTTCATACAAGGTCATGCAAGTTAGGGTCTGGGCCGAGATGGGGGGCTCTGAGACAGGCGAGACGCGGCTTCGCCGCGGCGAGCTCGTTCTAGGAGCGAGCCGCCAGGCGAGCCCGTTTTAGAAAAAGGGGAAAGGAGTAGGGTTAGTAAAAACGAAAACGTGGTTGTCACACACAATCCCAAAGTCACGGGAAAATTGAGTGTCAATTTTTTTCAGGGGGGGGGGGGTGATCTAACTTCTCTTGCGAGCGCCCATGCGCGGGGCTTTCCCGCGGGGACCGAAGACGTACCTTAAGGAAGAATTTTAATATCCTCCGTCAAAACGCCTGCTGGAGGGGCAGCTTCGTCTGAAGCCGTCTGCCCCCCATTCCTCTGGGGCCATCAACGTTCAACCTGTGTCACCCGGAATCCATAGTGTCACTCTTATGGATTTGAAATGTCAAATTTGCAGCAAATTTGCACGCAAACTTGTCATTTTGCGAGCAAATAAGATACAAACATCACACCGCGTGCGCCCCCGCCGGCGTGGGAGTGGCCTCACCGCGTGCTGGGTGTGCCGTGTCGCGTGTGCAACACTCTCCCCCGTGACCACGTCCACGATAGCCCCGCGCTGGCCCCCCCCCCGGGGGGGCGCGGTTAGCTCGGTTGACGACCCGAACATTCGCACGTGGAGAGTGTGTGTGTGGCACTCTAAGGATGTTTATCTGCACACATGTGTGCGTAATTTGGCAATATTTTGAACAGAGAGCCCACTCGAGTAGCGCACTAGAGGCCAGGCATCCCCAGGAGGCGGGAGAGCGAGATCGCCCAAACCATCGTGAGGCGGGAGCGGCGAGAGCGACGACGGCTTGGACGTCGGCTTGGACGTCGGCGGCACGGCGATGATCAACGTGCGGTGGCGGAGGCGGTGTGGCCAGAATGAACGCGGTGGCAACGGCACCTATGAAAGCTAAGCCGCAGCGGCATGATCGGTGGCAGGTGGGGCGGTTGCGACGTGGCACAGTGGTAGCGATGATGATGGCCGTGGCGAGGGGGTGGGAAGTGGACACAGCGGGTGCAAGAAACGAGCCGTCTTGAAGTACCTTAAGGTATTGGTGAATGAGGCAGTCGTGTCCGCGACCCAGAAGTTTTGGTGAATGACGCCAGCGAGGCTTGAGGAATGAGCCTCGGCTCCAAGTGCGGAGCGGTCGCGCCACTGGCAAATGTTGCAATGCAGCAGTGGCGAAAGCGAAGGCAGCGTAGCTGCACCGAAGGCAGAGATAGCAACAGCGGCGTGAAATGTCACGGCACAAACGATCAGCAGCGGGTGCATGCGTGATGGCAGCCAGCACGCTGAGATGCACAACACACCTGTGATCTATCGTTTGCAGCAGCGTGATACCAATGTAGTGGTGGTGACGGCTGCCTCCGTGGGAGAAGCAAGTCTGCAGAGGCTGCTGGGTACTATTAGCGCAGTCCGAGCTGCCGATGGCGACTCGTGGTGGCGCGGCTTTTGGCCCGGCGGAGATTGCAGCCAGCGCGATGAATGGACCCTGCGGGGAGGCGAGGAGACGGGCGAGCTGCGACGGCCGAGGAGGCCTGAGCCGCTGCGGACAGAGGCCTGCACGCGACCGGCGTCATCGTCAAACCAAGTTTGACGCTCCGGTGCGCATTTTTGACGCTCCGGTGCGCATTTTTGACGCTCCGGTGCGCTTCATTGACGCTCCGGTGCGCTTTTTTGACGGCGACGCTCCGAGGCTGTCAGCAGCGCTGGCGGCGATCGTGGCGACGGCGCCTCGCCGCTGCAGCGGCACAGAATCGAGGAAGTGGCGTTGGTGGCAGCATCAATGAGATATGAAGGCGGCCGTAATGCTGGTGGCGCCTTCGAGGGCGGCGGAGAGGGCGGTAGCAGCGACGGCGATCGAGTCATGTGGCAGGGGTGCGAAGATGCAGCAGGGAGGCTTGAGTTAGCGACGCGGGGCGGTGGCGTGCCAGCAGGTAAGCGGCGGCGGCGGAGAGCAGGTGCGCGAAATAAAGGCCAATCTTGAGATATCCAGTTTGCACCACCTTTGGATTTCTGGTACAAATTGACTTGTGGATCTTGAAGGCACGCGCAAGAGCGCACCAGGCAAGTTGACTGAACCTCGGATCTCGCTGCCGCTAAGCGTGGCGTCGATTATCAAACGAGCGGTGACAGTAGCAGTGGCAGCGGCGGCAGCGTCGACAGGAGCACCTACTGCAGCGTGAAATGTGAGCTGGGAGGCGGGAGGCAGATGCAATAGGAGCGGGAGAGTGAGATCGTCAGCCAGCACGGCAGACCTTTACGGCGCGGCTGCGGGCGCGTTTGCAGTGACATGCGATCCATGTGGTAGCAAAGGCACGGCGGGAGTAGCGCGTATGCAGGCTGTGAGCGAGGGTGGCGCGTCGCGAGTGGCGGTGCAGCTAGTCGGTGGCGCGGGTGCTGGCGACCGGCAGAGAGATGCAGCCGGCGCGAGAGATGAACCCTGCGGAGAGGCGAGGTGACGGGCGAGCCGCGACCGTGGGAGAGGGCTGAGCATCGGCTGCACCGGAGGCACAGGAGCCTCGCACGCCCGACCGTGACGAGAGCGCCCTGACTGAAAGTTATTTAAAGAAGGCGCCGTGCCGCCCAAGCCTGCTCGCTCCCTCTCGCTCCACCGCCGCCGGCGAGCACAGACCCGCAGCCCGGGGCCGCGCGGCCGGGCGCCACGGTGATGGCGGCCTCGCGGCCGTCCATCGATCTCGACGAGGATATCGCGGCCCTCCTGGAGCGGGCGCGCGTTTCTGCGCTCGTCTCCGGTAAGGTGGTGCCGCAGCTGCTGGCCCAGGACGTCGGCAACGTCGCGGCGCTGCTCGAGGCGGTCGCCGAGGACGGCCTCGAGGGGCTTGGCCTCGGCAAGACCGTGCAACGTCAGCTGTGCCGCTGCCTGCCGGCCCTGAACAGCTGCGACGCGGCTGAGGCGGCTTTGTCATCCTTTGCCTCCCTGTCTCTGGTCGAGCCCCCGCTTGGGGCTGCGACTGGCGCGCAGGCGGGCAGCAGCGCGATGGCCGGCGGCGATGGTGCTGCTGGCGAGCGCGCTGGCGGCGGCGGCGGTACGGACGCTGCCGAGGGTGCCGCGCGTGCCGCAGACGGGCATGCGATTGCCGCAAGCGGCCCCCGCGGCGGAGCTGGGAGTGGCTCCGCTGGCGAGGAGCACGGCGGCGGGGCCGCGGCTGGCGGCGAGGGCCGCGGCGGCGCGCGCCCCAAAGAGGCGGACAGCGGCGCCTGCAGTGCGCAGGCCGCGGAAGGCGGAACCGGAGGCGGCGCCCCGGGGGCCTATATGGACCCCGTGGCGCCCGCGCTGCCGGCTAGCGGCGATGGGACGATTGCCGCCGCGGGGAGGGAGGAGGAGGTGGAGGGCGCCGCTGCCGCCGCCGAGGCGGGCCGCCGCGCTCCGAAGACCCTAATTGTTGCCGATCCTTCAGCGACGCGCCATACCGACACCGGGCACAGTTCGCAGCCACTTGCTGCGTCCGCCGGAGCTTCGGATTCTACTTACAGCGGCGCGGACGTGGAGGAGGCGGTGGCAGGAGGGGGCTCTGGGGCGGCGGAGGCGAGCGCGGCGGCCACGGCCGAGGAGGACAAGCGCGTCCGGGCGCTGAGGATTGCCCTGCAGCACAGGACGCAGATGCCCGTGACGGACGAGGAGGCCCGGGCTATCCTCCAGGCGCGAGGGGGTCGCGAGACGCCCGTGACGGAGGAGGAGGCGCGGGTCATCCTTCGGGCTCGGGGGGACGTCGGGCACGGCAGGGCTACCTTTCAGGCGCGGGCGCGCGGGCGCGGTGGGCGCGCCACGGCATCGCCGGCGCTGGCGAGCAAGGGCGGCGAGAAGCTATCGCGGCGTGGGAAGAAGGCGGTGGCGAAGGAGGCGGGCGAGGTGGTATCACGCGAGGAAGGCGAGGCGATTTATCGCGCGACGCTCGAGTCGCTGTTGGCGTCCACCGGGTGGACGCCGCGCGCCGCGGAGGAGAGGGCGCGCGAGGAGCAGCGTGCGCATGTTCGGCAGATGCGCTGGGCAAGGGAGCACGGCCGGGGGGAGCCGGTCCGGTGCTTTGACACGGAGGAGTACGACGAAGGCGATGACGCTTTCGACGCGCTCTTCGACGGGGGCTCGGGGTACGGGTGGGATTCCCCCTCGGGGGGCGGCGCTTTCTTCTAGGCGCCCGCCTTGACCCAACATAGAGGGCGTTGTGTAGCCTAGCTTTTGGGTAATAAAAAAAAAGTTATTTAGGAGCACCCCGGTTTCGGACATCGGCCCGAACGATTGGACGGTGCTTCCAACTGAGCCAAATGGAGTCCAGCGATGTGGGACCTCAGCCCCAGAAGCTTGGAGCTTCAGGCCGCGACCACGTGGCTAGGTGGACACTAAAGTGCCATTTTGGCGCCAAATCTTGGCGGGAAATGACACGTGGTTTGGCGGGAGTGTGGTGTGCTGCGCTGCTCGACAGCGCTGCTGTTGAGCGCCAGCTGCTGCTCCCTTCAGCCAGACGGCCCTGCGCAGCACGACCGCTGGCCTTCCTCCTGCACCACAGGAGCGCGCCAAGGCGCGCGTCTGGGCAAGCAGTGCGTCTCATCGCGATGCGAGAGTCGACGCTGTGACGCCGCCGCTCGCCGGCTAGAATGACAGTGGCAGCATTCGAGTACGCGTCGAGCTGTGCGTACCAGCACTTGTATGCGAGCTCATTGTGTCCCTGAGCTGCTGTGGGGTGCGTGGGCTCAGCTGCGGAGCACGTACTGGGCGGCGGTAGGGGGGTGCTCCTAAATAACTTTCCCAGGAGAGGGTATGTACGGGGAGAGGACCGTGAGTTGAGGAAATCGAGGGACGCGACCCACTTCGCCACAGACGGTCCCGCGCCTCGCCGCTATGACGGGCACACGCCCCGCACCGTCCGCTGTGTGCCCGTCTTTGTCCGGAGTGAAAAGTCCAACGCGCTCGTCGGTGGCGGCTTCCCTCAACCTGCGCCGCGCTCGGCGAACCTCGACAGCGCTTTCGGTGGCATGCAGCTCTTTGCGACAGAAGCCTGGAGAGCAGCTCCTCTGCTGCTCACACACTCTGCACAGTTGACACAGCCTATTGTGCGGCTGCCACAGCTGTGACAGCGATGGGCTCGCCCTCACTGGCCCTCAGTCACTTGTGCTGCGGCTTGTGTGAGCGACACTGCTCGGCGACTGCCGGCACACTGTGAGACCATGGGTGTGAGGTTAAACCACGCTACCAGCGCTTGGTCACATCGGCCCCGAGGTCAGATCCTTCTACTCTGTTGATGACAAGACTTGTCTACTGGCTGGAGCCGAGCAGGAGGGCCCAGCGCACAACCCCTGGTCAACTCAGGGTCCTCTCCCTTTACTTTCGTTCACATACAGTACTGCGTGGCACCTTGGTGAAGTACGCTGGCAAGCCTCCGCCGCTCGGCCCTCCGCTTCCGACTCCGCCTCTGCTCCTGCCGGCGCCCTTGCTGCTCGCCCCGCCGACGCTGCCGCGACCCCTCCCCCTCCCGCTGGCGCCGCCCGCTGCCGTGCGCGGCTGGGTCCTGCCAGCGCTGCTGCTCTGCTCGTCCAGAGTGGTGGCCGGAGGCAGCGCGCTACCTCGCAGGGCGCCACATAGCGCGCAACGCGCCGAGCCCGCCTCGTTGTCGAGCGTGCAGGCGGAGCAGGACCAGACGGCCGCCGGCGCTGGTGCTGCAGGCGGGAGGGCAAGCGGAGATCCGACACGTTGACGCTTAGAGTCCACATCGCAAGCAGCCAGCCCTCCTCGTCCGCCGCCGCCGCCTCCTCCGCCGTCGACAATCGACGCGAGGCACCGAGTGGCGGTGGCAGAAGCGGCGACGGGAGAGGAAGGAGCGAGGGGGGCAGCAGCGGCAGCGGAAGCGGCGGCGGCCGCGGCGGAAGCGGCGACGGCGGCGGAAGCGGCGGCCGGGGGGGATGCGGGGGCGGCGGAAGCGGGGGGAGCGGGGCCGGCTGCGGCTGCGGCTGTGCACGGGGCGGCGGCTGCGGCCGCGGAGAAGAGCCGCTGCAGCGAGCCTCGCTCTTTGGGGTGCGCCTCCTTTTCGAAGCTGTCCGCCGAGAAGCCAAAGTTGGTGATGCCGAGCCGCGTGGGCGGGCGCAGCTCGAGGAGGGGTCCGAGCAGCTCGACGCCTTGCCGCGCGATTCCACACGCCGACGGGTCGCGGAGCTGGCTGCGGCGGGAACGACCAGCCTGGCCATCGAGCGAGACGTGCGCCACGAGGGTGGTGGCGATGCGGCCGTGCTCCTCTCTCTGTTGCGCGAGCCGCGCCGCAATGTCCTCTGCCAGCTGCGACGCCCACTCCGCCAAGCCCGCCCTCGAGTCGATCGGGCCGCGCACGGAGCCGCGCGCGCCAGAAAAGTTCTTGCACGCGCCGACCTGCTTAGCGAGGGGTCTCTCCCTCACCGCATCGTCGTCGCACCCGCTCGCCATGCGCACTGCCCGCGCCGCCTCCTCTCCTGGGTGCGACCACTCCCCACGCAACAGCCGTGCCGCCGCCGCGCCGCCGCCGGAGCGCAGCTCCCCCGCTGTCGCGTAGCCGGGCAGGCCGAGGTCTGGGCGGCCCTCCCGCAGAATGGCGCCCAGCTTCCCGCCAAACCCGCGCAGACGGTCGATGGGGAGAGGGTCGAGCAGCGCGTGGACGGCGCCGCGCGGCAACAGCGTCTGCTGGTTCGGCTTGTGCAGCCCGCCGCAGAGCTTGGCGAGCAGCTTGTTCGCAGCGATCCCCGCAGAGCAGGTGAAGCCCAGCTCGGCGGACACCGCCGCGCGCGCGCGTGCGACGATCACGGCGCCGGCGGCCAGCTGGATCTCGCCCTCATCCCACTCGTCCGGTGTCCTCTGCCACCACGCGGCGCTCGCCTCGCCGATCCGCCGCACCACCTGCCCCGCATGCCCCGCCCGAAAGGAGTTCCGCGCGAGCATGCCGGTCGGCTGCGCCCCCTTCTCCGCCTCCGCCTCCGCCTCCTCGGCGCCCGCGACGTGCGTGCCCGCCGCCGCCGCCTCGGAGAGCACGTCGGCGTACGAGGTGGCGCCGAGCAGCGCCCTTGCTGGCCTCGTCAGGTCGACGTACATCTCGTCGACCGACGCCTGCAGGAAGGGTCCGAGAAGCTTCTAAATTAAGCACCGCCGTCTCGCCTCCTCCATCGGTGTGTGACTCTCTCGCCTTCTCGGTGAGCGCCCCCTCGCCGCAGGTGCGGTGGATGAGCGCGAGTGCCTTGGCGCCAAAGTCGCGGTAGACGCCCATGTCCGACTTGCCGTGCGAGGTCGGCACCTGCACCAGCACCAACTCCGGGCACTTTGCGACCGCCTCACGCCCGCGGAAGAAGCGAGTGACACCGCGCTCACGGGCCTCGTACGAGACTGCGATGATGCTCCCGTTCTGCGCCGCCGGAAGCAGCACGCGGCCGTCACGCACAGCGACGCGCGCCGCCGCGGGCTGCGCCGGCAGCGAGACGACGCCGCCGATGTTCTCGCCGCCGCCCGAGCTCTTGGAGTTCTCGTACGGGTTGTACTGCACCACGGCCATCGGGAGACCGAGGAGCGACGGGTCGAGCGCCCGCTCGCAAGCGCAGTAGAAGAAATCCATGTCGATGAGGGCGACGCAGCGACCGGACGCGGACACATGCATGTGTTATTTACCTTCCGGCCTCCACCTGGCGACTGCGAGCCGTTGCGGACGGCGCGGAGCACCTGACCGGTGGATGAAAACGCGTTTCTTCTCTGCACTGTAGATGTAGAGGGGCTTGGACGACACTTGATATACAGGACAATAACCGCCAATGGCAGTTGTGCGGCCGTCGCCGCGGCTCGTCTCTGCCGCGGCGGCTGCTGCGCTCTCGCAGCGGCGCCGCTCTCTCGAGCGACGGCTGGCGCCGCGGCTCGCCGCCGACGCGCACTGCGCTCGCACGACCATCCGCGGCGTGGCGTGCGCGGCGCTGCGCGCGGGCGCCTCATGCTGCACTGCTGTACATCATCCTGCACTGCTGGATTGGACTGCGTTGGTCCTCGAGGAGACTGCGCGGTGCTCTACGCGGAACACTGCGAGCGTCGATCGCGCACGGCAGGCGGATGGCGGGCTGCGTGAGAGCGGCAGGCGCTCTCCTCTCTCTGGTGCTGATGCTGCTGGTGCTGGTGCTGGTGCTGCTGGTGCTGATGCTGCTGCTGGTGCGGCGCGGCTCTGCGACTCGGCTCACGGCGCGCGTCGCGGGAATCTGACGCGGTGGGCGGCGTCGAGAGCGGCAGCGGTGGCGGAGCGAGTGACGGATAAAGTCGTGTGAAAGAGCTGTGAAAGCGAAAGTATCGAAATTAATTGCCCGCCGCAGGCGAAGAAAATTTTCAGGGTTTTGGGTCTCCTACGCCAAAGAAATCGAAGATTTCGGCGGGCGCCCGACGCGCGGTTTGGAGCACGCGCGCTGCCCGGCATGCCTGCAGCATCCAAACGAGACGCACGGCGTCGCTCAGCCGTGTCCACGCGGCTTCGCTCCTGTCCTAACCGGCGCCATCTGGGCGGCTGCTGCGGAGCTGCTGCCGGCGGTGCGGCAACTGGCCGACAGATACAACGCTCAGGGCACCCGCCGGCGATTCACTGGAAAGGAACGAAGGCGCCGCTGTCGGCGATTCACCGCCGTTCGTTCCCGTCTCTCAAGCTGGCTACACCGTCCATGGACGAGGGAGACGTCGCCTCCTCTTTCGTCCCGGGCACTGTTCGCGCCGGAAGGCACCGTACACTGCGAAGTACATTAGCCTTCATCTCTCCTACCGCCGGCCGGGAGTGCAGCCTTCGCCATCGCTGAGTGAGTTTATCCTCGACTTTGGCACCTGCGAAGTAATGAACAACATGCAGTACGTCATATGCAATGGCGCTATGACAGCCCTGCGATGGGCGTCCTCGACGCAGACGAGGCGGAGCTCATCTGCACGGCGCAGATCGCCGACTTTCTCTCTCTCCCTGCGCGAGTGGTTGCGCCACCGTGGATGAGGCATATGGGCTGGGCAGGGGAGTTGGTAGAGGAGGTCGACTGAGGGCGCGAGGCCGCCAATCGTCACAGTCTGCTGCTGACTGTCGGTCGCTGACTGGTTGCGCATTGCGCTGGCCGCGCAGCGGCCTTTAGAAAATTTTGGCCGCAGGCCTAGGTTTTGAAAGATCAAGAGAATAAGCGCCGGTGAGTCTTTCAGAAGCTGCCGTTTGCGGCTTCCTAAGTCAATTTTTCGAGAGGAACGTTTTGGCTGAGCTATAACGGCTCCAAAGTCGCGCGATCATCGAGTTTTGAGTCAATAATTATGAAAGGAAAGGGCTGGCGAGAATTATAGCTCAGCCAATCGATTCAGCGTGCTCTGAAACGCCCAAAACCGTCGAGTTTTTCACCGTGGTCCAAACAGAGAGCTTAATATTTTGATTTTCTTGGCCACGGCCACGATTACCCGTCACTCGCTCGGCGGCTCGAGGGTGGAGGCGGTGGCTGGAGGCTGTGGTGGACTTTGAGTTTATTTAGGGGTCGAGTACGCGGGCCGCCGGCGAGCTGCTGCCGCGCATGCTGCGCTGTGGGATTCGCCATCGTGTCCTGAGTACGTCGCCGACGCCACCTGCCGCTCGCCGCTGCCTTGGACTTCCCTGCCATCAGGCAAACACACAGACACACACACACAAACACACACACGTTATTAATCGGGTAATAATTATTAAATATTAATCCTCGGGCGGCGGAGCGGCGCGGCGGCGGGCAGCGCGAGGCGGCGGCGCGGCGAGGCAGCGGGCGGCGCAGGGCGGGGCGGCGCGGCGGCGGGTGGGGTAATTAATTATTTGTTAATTCATTATTACTTAGGTAGGTAGGTAGAAAGGTGAAGAACAGCCAGGCTCGGACTGGACACCAACGCGGTATGGGTGGACGCTAGACATTACTTAAGGTGGCAGTCCGGGTTCTGTGAAGAGGGTCGCTCGTCGAATGCGAGCCAGTTCGCTCGCGACGCCGACGCCGACGCCGCCGCCGGAACGACCGCGGCGGCCGGTCGAGCGGCCGCCCCGGCCAGCGGCCGTATCGAGCCTGCCCGTCGCGAAGGTGCGGACCTCACGCTCCCCACCGGCCGCCCGCGCCGCCGCGCCCACGTCGCTCTCTCGAAGCCGAGCGCCACGCCGCTACGACTCCCATCGCGACGACTCCCGTGCTCGCTCCTGGCGCAGGCGATCGACTCCTGACACCCATCGAGCGGATGGGCGCGTTCCCGCCGCGACCCGGTACTCTCGAACGACTTTTGAGGGCAAAAGGTGCCGCCCGAGCCCATTCCCGCCGCCCGCCGCCCGAGATCAGCTGCCACCGGCCAGCGCGCGCGCGGAGACCTGCCGCGAGCGCCTCCGTGGCCCTAGCTGGGGTGATTAGCAAGCGCCTCGGCACTTTAGATTCGCCCCTCGGGCTTTTCCGCGCGCGTGATCAGTCTCGCGTTCTCTCCTTTTTCGGGCGCCTGTTTACGGCCTCTGAAGAGCAACCGTCGAGGCGTCGATGCTCGCCTCCACGCGCCAGACCTCCGCGATTGGGGCGCCTTGTCGACGGGATCAATTGTGATTCCGGGCGTATTTTTCTGATAGCTTACTCGCATATCGGCGACTCTTAGTCGCTTCTCCGTGCTAGGAGGCCTCTGTTTTGTGTCCGTGAGGACTAGATCGAAATTAAAATCCGGGAACATTTCAGTAAGCTATCAGAAAAATGCGCGTTCACTCACAATTCATGTGTATATGAACGGTGCCGACGGGTTTGGCGAGCAGCGAAGCCGTCCAGGCGCAGCAACGCGACGGTTTCGGAGGCCGACGGCTCTCCGAAAGAGCCTCCCGAGCGAGGCCGGCGCGGTCACGGTACCGTGGAGGCCACAGACGTCGCCGGAGCGGCACTCCCGGGGCGCCACTCCCTCACCCGGTCAGGGGGGGCCAACCACAGCCCGCCTCACCGTCCGTGGAGCTTCCGTGGTCCGCCGCTCCGGCTTCGATTTTCGACCCTCCCGAGGCTGCCTGAGCAGCCCCGCGGAGCCTCCCGGATGCACCAGCACACCGTCGTCCAGAACGCCGGCGCACGCGCTGCCCAGTGACTGGGCGGGTCGGCCCCGACTAGGGGCGGGCCCAGCCGCGCGGAGAAGACCATCCCACTCGCGGTTCGTCGCACCGTCCGCTCCGGTTTTCGTCTCGAGCGGGTCGTGAGACGGCCGCGAGAGCGAGCACCGCGGTCACGGTACCGTGGAGGCCACAGACGTCGCCGGAGCGGCACTCCCGGGGCGCCACTCCCTCACCCGGTCAGGGGGGACCAACCACAGCCCGCCTCACCGTCCGTGGAGCTTCCGTGGTCCGCCGCTCCGGCTTCGATTTTCGACCCTCCCGAGGCTGCTAGAGCAGCCCCGCGGAGCCTCCCGGATGCATCGGCACACCGTCGTCCAGAACGCCGGCGCACGCGCTGCCCAGTGACTGGGCGGGTCGGCCCCGACTAGGGGCGGGCCCAGCCGCGCGGAGAAGGCCAGCGAGCTCGAAACACGTCGCCGCGGCCGGCCGTTTCGCAAGCCTGAGCGGGTCGCCAGACACCCGCGAGAGCCAGCAGCTAGAGCGCCGTCGTAGCCGCAGATCGAGTCGAGGAGCTTGATGTCCACGGTAGCAGTTGTGGAGAGCGGTGGCACGGTGCGTGTAGACGCGTCGATTGAGGGCTACCTTTCGAAACGCGACGGGTACGGCATGACAACTGCCAGTACAGTTTTACGCCGGCCAGCGTGAGAGCACAACAGGGAGCCGGCGACCCGTACGCTTTGCGCGTGGCGACTGGTGGCTGTCTGGAGCTCGTGTGAGCTGGGCCGACGCGTGGCCGAGCCGAGAGGACCAGCGAGCGACCACGTTGGCGATGAAGCTTGGCGGCCGGCACCTCGTCGCCAGACGTCACAGCGGCGTGGACGTAGGAGTGTGCGGCGACGGTTACCGGCAAATCCGGCCCAGTGTGGCCGGCAGCTGCCTAGCGCTGGCCTGTGGCCGGCGCCGTGGTGGCGGAGAAGGCGTCTCGCCGCCGTGGCGGCGGTCGGCAGGTGCGAGCGTGATGCCATCTTGCGGGACGACACCCGACGCGCAAAACCCGGACTCCGGACTCCCACCTTAACCCTCCTACGCAGATACGACAAAATACGTCTGCTCATGGCGCCGAGCCCTGGTCTGGACACCAGATCGGCCCCCCCGCCCCTAACATTAGCCTCCCAGCCGCTCTGTCGGCCATAATGTTAGGGGCGGGGGGGCCAAAATCACGCAAAACCATCTGCGTAGGAGGGTTAATGCGCCAAGTTCAGAACATATATATAGACTGGAGTGGCGATGGGTGCGTTACAAACAGTGATCGGGCACTGCCGCCGATCGATGCTTGGCCGCCGTGAGTCAAGCCAGCCCCAAACTGCGGAGCTCCACTTGCACAGACCGCTCACAGCGGTCACGAGCTGGCCCGCTGGCCGCCTTAGCCCGGCCACAATCGCGGCACAGTCTCTGTCATGTGTCGACGCCGAGACAGTGCAGCCAGCGCAGCCAGAGCATGCCGGCATGGGGTGAGACGGACCAGCAACGCAGCGCTGAGCAATGCACGCGCACGGCACGGGTCAGGCACGACTCCTACAGTCGCGATGCCACCACACCGAACGGCTGGCAGCGACAGCCAATGCCAATGCATGCTGAGGACGAGTGGCGGCGTGCAGCTGCTGACCAACAAATTATCGCCGCGACTCATCCGTAAAGCCGCCACGCGACCAACTCGTGCACAGGCGGCCATACTGAGCGCGATGGCGACACAGCTGGGTGCGAGATAGCGGCCTCCGACCCGTCTCGCGCATTATCTCGGCCTCGTCGAGCAGTACCAGTGACGCGTCCTGTGCCGGCGAGGATGATGAAGCGAGGTGCTCGCGCAGAGTGTGTGCTTAACAGCGGCGCGAGACCACCGATTAGCTCGGCGATCGACGACACACACACGCACGACTCGTCTGCGAGTGATCTCGGCCGCGTTTCTGTCGTCGAGATGGCCGTATCGAGGCTGCCGGCTGCCGGGAAGACGGTATCAGCAGGCGTTCCAGAAGGCGCGAAATCATGTATTTACTCGCGCGAAGAGCAGCGCGATGGTCCGAGAAGGGTGTGGCGGGAGCAGTTGGATGTACGGGAAGGGAGTCGGAGGTTGCATCAGCCCTAAATGAATCTCTAATCAAAGATATACCCCCTATACTCTTCTAATGCATGATTTTGGACTGTGAATGTGATGTTCCACAGTAGATGGAGTAACATTTGAATGAAAAGAGCATTTGAATGAGGTGTGAATAGCATTTGAATGAGGTGTGGAACATCACATTCACAGTCCAAAGTAAAGAATATAGGTACTATGCGAAGCAATCCGCCGTGATCTCGAGGTGAACAGGCGACAATCCGACTGCTCGACATGGAGCGTTCACGGAGCGTCAAATGCCGCTACAACAACGGCACTCTCCCGCAGTACATGCCACGCATCTTCACCACCAACAGCCAGCTGACAGAGGAGGACCACATATTTCCTCGAGGGCGCAACGCCAAGCAGCAGCACGCAATTGATCGCCGCTACCGCAAGATTGGTCCGCTGACAGAGCCGCTGCAGCGACTGGGACGCAAGCTCACACCGGGCGAGCTCATAGTGAAGAAGATGGTGAAGGGAGTGCTTGGGCGCGTGACCAAAGGCGCCAGAGGTGCCAAGCGGCCTGCTGCGCCCCCTCCCAGGCTGCAGCCCCCCCCCCACGCAAGCGGCGGGTGATTGTGGACAGTGATGAGGACTAGCGGTCGTAAAGGACAAACGGTTGCGGGTACGTCTTGGGTCGGTTTTGAATGTGCTTGCTCGTGCTGGGTGGTAACCCCGCGGCCTGGAGGGTGTCAGGTGGACATGGTAGCATACCTCAATGCCCAGGAGAGGCTTGCAGAGAGCTCAATGGGAGCGACAACGCGAGATCAAGTTGTCCTTTTGTAAAGGACAAGTCCTTTAAAAGTCATCGGCCTATCCGCTTATCAGAGTCAAGCGATTGCGCGAAATCCCACACTGGTGGATTTTGGGGCGCTGTGGGCCCCCTAGTACAGCGATCACGAATCAGGTGCACGACAAAGCGAGCGCGGATGGTTGTGTTTAGTTCACCCATAGATGGGGTCTGTCTGTGATAATATCTGGTTCTGCAGCATCGTGCGCATCTTAATTAGCCCCCTTCCAGGGAATCACGAATCACGCCCCTCACGTGGCGGGACGTGGCTGACGTCACCAACGCCGCCGACACAAGCCCGCGACAGGAGAGCCTCGCCCGCGTGCCGACCGCCGCGCACCCATCAGTCGACGATCTCGGCCTCGCCCTCCTTGCTCTCCAGCGCCGCCTTCTCCAGCGCCGCCGCGTCGAGCGGCGGCGGCGGCGGCGCGGGGTACGGCTCATCGCCGTGGTACGCCAGCATCTGCGTGACTGGCCCGCCCTTGTGCTTCCAGCCGAAGATGCCGCCGCGCAGCCGGCGGAAGCGTGCCGCAGGTAGCGTGGTGTGGCCGGCGCGGAGGAGGTAGCGGCAAAACGCGCGGCAACGGGAGTACGGCGTGGCGACCTATTGCAAGAGACGTGACGATGCTGAGCTGGTGGGAGGTGTCTGGGGAGTGTCTAGGAGGTGTCTAGGAGGTGTCTGGGCGGTGTCTGCGAAGTGTCTGGGAAGTGCCTGCGACGTGACGATGATGAGCTGGTGGCGGCGCGTCGAGAGCATCTCGTGAATCAGCTCGCGGCCGAGCGCCTAAGAGAGAGAATGCCATGCGTGGAGACACAGAAATGCAGCTCGTGAGCCAGCCTCGCGGCCGAGCGCGTCGACGATGCCCCAATTGCCGACTCGCTCCATAGAGACGTTGCGCGCGCCGGGGATGGAGCCGCTGGCGAAGATGTGGTCGGAGCGGCAATCGATGAAGATGGCGCGCTCCTTCTCGAAGAGGTCCCGCGCCTGGCAATCCGCACATCCTGTAAATGGAGTGACTGACGGTTCTCGAGACGAATAGGTCGGCGGCCAAGACTCAACGCACTAGTGGAGGAGCGCGTCCGTTCAAGCAGCGCGCGCATCAACTCTCTTTCTCGGTGGACGGATCCGATCCCGCCCAACGGCGGTGTTCGTAGATTTGGCGGTGGCACGACAACGTCGCTCTGGCGGCTGCAGCACTGTGCCCCCACCCTTCAGCGCGCTGCCTTTCGGGGCGGGCTTCGCGCCTTGGAGAGCCCGATCCACCGGACCTAGTTGTCAAGCTCACCCTCCATCAGCACATCGGGACCCTTTCGCGGCGCCCATGAGCGCCCAACCAGCCCACCTCGTTGACGTCGCCGCCGAGACCGTCCGAGATGAACATCTCGGCGAAATGGTCGATCTGCGCTCCCTCCGCCTCCTCGGCCGCCTTCTCGACCTGATCGACGGTCGCCTCCCACCACCACTGGAAGAAGTAGTCGTCGTCGTCCTGTTCACAGCGCCAGCCGTGAAGGAGCGCTGTTCACACCGCCACTGGAAGAAATGTCGTTCTCACCTCCGTCGGCTGCTGCGCGTACGCGGCTTCCTCGCTCGCCGAGAAGGAGAAGTCCTTGTTGCCTGTGCGCACGGGCTACACGCGTCAGACAACGCAGCTTCCTCGCTGCTGTCGAAAGGAGAAGTCCTCATTGCCAATCTCCCACAGCAGCCGCTTCTGCTGCTGCAGGTCAGAGAGCGTCTCGAAAGCACCGTACACCTGATCAGCGAGATACCCCGAGATCGCCCGAGATTACGCGAGAGGTCCGAGAGTGGCCGCGAGGCGGGCGTCTCGAGGGCGCCATACACCTTGCGGAAAGCTAACAAAGAGATATGGGGAGATATGGGGAGATATGGGGAGATATGGGGAGATATACACCTTGCGGAAAGCTAACAAAGAGATATGGGGAGATATGGGGAGATATGGGGAGAT